AATTACCAAGCAGCACTTCTCTGCTATTTTTAAACAAAGGGCTTCTTTCCTCAAACCCTTCCTGTTCCTATCTCTTCCCACCCCGGCGGAAGAGGAAATGACTGAGTGGAAACATAGAAGGGAAATCATTTTATCCCCCTGAGATGAGCCATTGCCAGGCCCTTCCCTATATCAGTTACAGGATCAGCAAGTGCAGGAGAAGCAACACTGCACAGGTGTGAGTGCTGGGATGGGAACACGCAGGCTACCATTAGCTCATAGCCACACACATCTTCTCACTGCACGGTGTGAGTGCTGGGACGGAAACACGCAGGCTACCATCAGCTCATAGCCACACACATCTTCTCACTGCACGGTGTGAGTGCCGGGACAGGAACACATGGGCCACTGTCAGCTCAGAGCCACACACATCTTCTCACTGCACGATGTGAGTGCCAGATGGGGACACGTGGGCCACCAGCCAGTTCAGAGCCACACACATCTCACTGCATAGTGCGAGTGCCGGGATGGAAACACGTGGTCCACTGGCCAGCTCAGAACCACACACATCTTACTGCACGGTGTGAGTGCTGGGATAGGAACACATGGGCCACTGTCAGCTTAGAGCCATACACATCTTCTCACTGCATGGTGTGAGTGCCACATGGGAACACGTGCTCCACCGGCCAGCTCAGAGCCACACACATCATCTCGCTGACCTTACCTCTCCGGAGTTCCATTCTGCACCAAGGTGATGGAGCAGTTTAAAAGCATGTATCTGTCACATTTTTAAATGTGCAAACCTGGTGAACCAAGAGATTCCTCGTTCTGGGATCTACCTTTGCACACGCATGCTCAGGGAGGCATTCCTTCCAACAGCAAAAGCAGTTTAAATAATCTAGATGTCTAGCAGTGGGGAAACAGCTAATGGATGCATTGCTAGAGAACACACTATGGGTGGGGAGACCGGATGACTGAGAAGGAGAGAGAAGGAGAGGTTTTGAGGGCTGAGCGCTTGGTGAGCACGGGCTGCCAGCTGTCCCGGCTTTTGGCAGGCTGCTTGCTGCAGACAAGTGGCCGTGGGGACGTCATCACTCAAGAGCATTCTTGCCAGCTTTGCTGATGCCAGTGCATGTGCAGCATGGGAGGAGGTGCAGGCCTGGTTTGACCTAACCATGGGTCTGTCTTTAATCACTATTAAAAGCAGTCATTACTACCCTCTCTGGTGGCACTGGACTACTGAAAGTGTAATGGAAAGAAGTTAAACTAAAAGTAATGTCTTAAACCTATTAATTTAGAATGACCAAAAGGAAAAGAAGCCCACAGGAGAGAACTCTTGCCTTTATTTCCCATTAATTGAGCCAAAGAAAACTCTTTCCTTCAAATGGCTAAGCTGAGCCATTCTTCCAGCTCTCATTGTTCTCTGGTGTTTGCAAAGGGCACTATCTGGCTGCGCAGCTGTGCCAAAGAGCTCTCAGGACAGTCATTTAACTGAGGACAAACAGCATGGCGGATCCAGCTTTGCTCACAGTGTCTGCAGGGAGTTAATAAGAACTCCAAGAAAAAATAAACCTGGGCCGAGCACCATGGCTCATGCCTGAATTCCCAGCACTTTGGGAGGCCGAGGCAGGTGGATCATTTGAGGTCAGGAGTTCAAGACCAGCCTGGACAACATGGTGAAAACCTGAATCTACTAAAAATACAAAAATTAGCAGAGCATGGTGGTACATGCCTACAATCCCAGCTACTCAGGAGGCTGAGGCAGAATTGCTTGAACCTGGGAGGCACAGGTTGTAGTGAGCCAGGATCCCACCACTGCACTCCAGCCTACACTCCAGAGCGAGACTCTTGTCTCAAAAAAAAAAAAAAAAAAAAAAGAGCTTGGGAAGCTCTGGGTTAAAAGAAGTAAAATACCAGCTGGCCGCAGTGGCTCACGCCTCTAATCCCAGCACTTTGGGAGGCCGAGGCGGATGGATCATGAGGCCAGGAGATCGAG